GTATTTTTTTGAATTTTATTAATTCTTTACAAAATAAACGATTATGAATCCATACGACCGGCTACCGGAATTTTTGAGAGGGTTTATTTAAACTAAAGAGAATATGTACTGATATTACCGCGATGTTAAAAATAGTGCCTTAATCTCTTGTAATGCCATTGTGAGAAGTCACTAAAAAAGCTTGCAAAAATGAAAAAGAACCGATCCAGAGGTTGTAGTTGTTTTAAGATATCGGTTGATATGATCTTGACCTGGAAATTGACAGGATCAATATTTTAACTCTGGACACTTGACTAATATTGTTGTCATTACTGTGAACAACTTAAGAGTCGAGCACATTTAAGATCTCTGCTTTTCAAAAGGGAAGAATGACTCCTCTAAATAACACTGCAAATAAATTTTTTGCTATTTCTCCGCCGAATTCCACATTGATTAAGTTTTTAGTGCAAAATGATTTCCACCACTTTACTTACATGGTTTGACTCATTAACTAGTGGTGCAACAATAGTAGATACTTTATCGCATACATTGTTTGGCTCCAAATAAAAATAATTCAGGGATGGGATTTGGTGCAGTGGGGACAGCTGAGGGATAAACGGCTGGGAGAAGCGCCGGAATCGCTAACCGAATTGCTGAAACTTGGCTCCGTGAAGTCCCAGAGGGCTCCGGAGATCTAACGGCGCCACGTCCTTGACCTAAGGGCTGACGATGACCGAATGACTGACGACTTTCTTCGTTAAAGGAAGATTAGTTCCATTCGCCTCCAGTTAAAGTGTTCTAGTACTGTAAAGAAAACGCAACAGGGCACGGCGGTGGGGGTGGCGGAGTAGCTTGTACCGGCACGTCTTTTAAGACGAATTGGGTGGCAAACTTTCGACACAAGTGCCAAAAATTAGCGTATTGGATGGGTTTATGGTCGAGGTCTCCTTTGCTTTTTAGAGAATGCAATGCGTGCCCATTTTGTATTCTGACAGCAGGATATTTGCTGGTTGTTTAACAAAAAACTATAAAACATTGTAACTACTTAAACTATAAAAACTACATTAGAACTAAGTTTAAAATGTATTTATTAAAAACTAAGACATGATTGGCCTTCCATCTCGCAAGTTACCTACACACACAAAATGTAAAATGAAATCTTACGCACAAAACACTCGCGACATGATCACTTCACAGCTCAGAACCATTTAGTGCGACTGTTCGGACGCGCATATTTCAGAGGCAATCATAGTAAATGATTTTAGAACAACTGGCAATTATCCTAATAGAAAGGGTTTCATGGAACATGAAAAATATAATATTTTGGCAAATAAGTGATCTTAAAATAAACCTATCAACTGTATTCCATAATCATTGTCCTTGTCAACATCCCCTGCGTTTTATCTCTTGTGGAATTTAGGCAAATTTTGTCAGCAATGTCAGCAAGTTAAATAATTTCCTGTAAAAGAAAGCAGACTAAAAGCAGCATATGAAATTTTCCAACATTTATGAAATTGTCTGCAATATCCAGTTAGTAGTAACGAAAAACTATGATATTTTCATAACCCTTTCCTTTCCTAACCATTCGGAAGGAAGGATACGGAAACTTACTTTGTCGCAAGGATAAATGCGATCAACAAAAAAGCTGGTGATGTCGATACTTTCAGCGAAAAGCATGACATTGAACGCATATTGCAACGTGCGACCGAAAGTATCTACAAAGCACTGACGTGAGAAGCCCTCAATCCTAGGGATTTGGAAAGCGGGGCTCCAAGAAAGCGTATTTCTCCAAGCAGGGCCCCACGTGGACAAATGTAATTGAACATACGTATTTGATTCATTTTGCATTGGACTGTCACATACCAAGGTTGAGGTTGACGACGAAACCCAGCGAGGTCTTTTACGTTTCATCTTATTTAGGTCAAGTGTCCGTTTCATCATTTAGGAATTGTATTATTAGCATCTTTCTCACCCCTCATTGATCATTCCACTTTCAGCGCTTATGCGACGTTTACAAACAAATCTAAACCGCCATGCAGAATCACTTTGTGGAAACTCCGGCACTCCTCTTACAGCCATAACTGACCAGTGTGTCGAAATAGTCCTGCAATCGCCGGAACATTTTGAATGAATAGTTTATGCGGCCTAGTCCTCACGGTAAGAACCGCACGTACGGAAAATGTTCAGCACTATTTATGCCCTTGCCTTTGTGATATATTGCAAAGTACAAGTATCCCTAATTCTCAGGTAAAACATTGTCCTCAAGTTATACCGCCATCCGTTGTGAGGTGCGCCGTCAATACCCCTCATTAGTGTTCTGCTGGTAGTGGCATGGTACTTAAGACTGTAGTGGCATTGCACTAAAACTAATGTTAACACATTGAAAATTAAAAACTAATTAATCTGGAGAATGCTACTACTTCATGTTCTTATAGTAAATTTCTTATGCTATTCAAATTATAAACAATCAACAGAATATCCATGTTTTATTTTTCAGAGTAAACTTAATATATTCTAAATACAGACACAATTACATATGAGAGTACAAATAATTTATGCAAGTTTGCATATTCTATTAATTTGCTATTATAAAATTGGGCAAATGTTAGATGCATAATAATTAGAGCAGAATTGGTATGAGTAATGACTGCACGGGTAATTTTTGCTTGTGAATTAGTGATGTCTCAGTTATTTCGGCACTCTCTCTCATAATGACACATTTTCTGTATGGGTACATTTTTATCTTCGTTTGCTTCGCTTATGTGTTCGTAAACCGCTTCAAAGTAATCACGGCGTAGTTTTCTTGCATAAACGCTGTCGTCTGAATCAGTTGATTGGTTATCTGTTTTTTCGAGATTAGAGTTATCTTGATTTATGAACTCATCCGGTTGAGATATTTCAGGGCAATCTTGCTTTTCTTCTTCATGAAGTCTACTGGAATTTGTTTCATGTACAATTGTTATGTTGCTTAACATGCTTGAATCATCTCTGTTTAATTCAATAAATAATTCTTGCAAACTTTTAGATGCCATTATTAATTTCGATAACGATTTTTCTAATCGTTTCATTTTTTCGTTTTTAAAATGAATTCGTACCTGCAACATTTATTTTAATTCACTGCTTTTGAAGTAATTTAAAAGCCTCAATTGCTCATAATTTTTTAACTAAAATTAAAAGACTGTCCTTTCAGTGTAAACGAAAACTAAACTTGACATACGGTACCTTGAATTTTTCCAAAAGCTTGCTAAAGAATGAGATATCCCTAATGCATTCTTCGTTACGAAATATGTTGTCCATTTGCTCTACAGTTGAAATTAACTTTTGAGAGAGCCATTTCATTTTCTTTTGTAAACTATCAGCATCATTTCCTTTATTTTTATTCTCAAACTCCTCGAATTGTCGCAGTAAGTGTGTTTTGTCCTTCGGATATAAAATACAATGGATGAGTGAACGTGAAGTACTATCAATATTTTTCGTAAATATATTTTAATATCGCAATAAATCTCCAAGTGCAACACAATGTGAACAAAATTTAAACAAAATATTGTGTGTCACAAGAATGATCTTCGGTCATCGTTTTATGCTTATGTTTTAAGGAGAGACGCAAAGTGATCCAAACACCTTCACTAAATTCGGAACCAACGACACGCGTGTGACGTGCGATCTCAATATGGATGTGACGTCAGTATGAAGAGAGTGGGGCGACTGTAAGCTATTCCTGAATGTGGGCCAGTCTCAGAATCAGAGAGAGAAAAATCAAGAGTGGAAATACTATCAGATACAGCCTCGTTGCAAGCCCCCCCCCCAATTACTACCACCACTTTGCCGACACTTCTCTTTTCATGCTGATGTCACATCCTTTCGTCCTCCCGTGATGTCACATGCAAGTTAAATGTAACGTCTTATCACTAATCCGTAAAGTAGGGAAATTGAATGACTATTTTCAGTCATTATCATTGATATGGTTTATGATCTTCAAAGGTGATAAAGACTTCCTTAAACCCTACTTACATTGTTCCGAAGAAATGCGCGCACTTTGGGCTTCATAGAAGTTTCTAAGCCTTCTTTCATTGATTTGTTTTGCATACGAGTACACCCATTCACCACCATTCGCCAAGACACCAATACATGGACCGACTAGTACAATTTGCGAGTGTTGACGCAACGCTTCTCTTAAATCCTTTTTGCGCGATGAGCGCTCGCCGAGAAGTAACCCTTTACTATCTTCGTCAAGTCTCGTAAAGTTTCGTAAAGTCGCATGTATCCCTTCGGCCTTATATCCTGGGGTTCGTAGCCTGTAACCCAACGCGAGCTTCGAATTCGCTTAACCTCCGACTTCACGGAGCGTTGTAATCGAAAACGGCCTGCGACGCCGGCTGGCGTCGTGTGAATCTCTTGAAAACCTTTAGGTTCTAGCACATTCTCGCTCTAACCGCAATTGCAGTAAAATAAATATCAATTTATCTGATCGTGGAATAACTTCTAATATTGATATTAACTATGAATTTTCTACTATTCCAAGTTTTTAAGCTTAATTACAAAGTGCATGCAAGTCAAAATGATGCGGAGAATACGAAACACATCAAGAGATATTGATAAACTAGAGACTGGATGTTGACTGAGCTTATACCTTTACAAAAAGGTTTAGTTATTCTTTGAGGTAGTAATAATATTGAGACTAGGGATTGATTAACAATAAATGAGTGATAATAGTAATGTTTCTAGGGTAATTTTAATTAATTTTATTTACAACAAATTCTGTATAATGAGACTCGCTTTCTACTGTAAAAGGCAAATCACCAATCAATTTATTACAATAAACTATTGTGAAATCATTTTAACTACCGCATAAACGAGATGAATATAATCCTTTCGAGTAGCGATCCTACTTCAAGACAACTGTTCACAGTAGTGTTCAGGTGAATCAGTGATAAGTTTAAGTCTACACATTACGTAACTTTTTCAATCTAAAGTGCCGACGTTTATAAGTAACTCATGCTCTAGTCCTGGTTTATCTACCTGAGGGCCAAAGGGAGGTAGAGGAACTGGAAGGCGACGACTGAACGAGGCGCAACCTCATCTTCAAGCAGTGATAATCTTAAGGCAAACTCAGAGCAAACTCCCAAGTGAACAGTGGCAAACGTGGAAGCAGTGATCCTATCTAAAACCCAAATCAATCTAAAAAAGTGGTTACCTACACTAGTAAATAATTACACTGTTCCTACAAAGAATAGATTCGTCCCTCTTGTTACCCTACTTGGTAACGAACCAAAAGACAATGTTACAAACTCTTCCGACACAGATATACCTGAAAATGTACCCATCCATCTACATTACAAACATTATGGAATTAAATAAGTAAATTAAAAACCATATCAGGACGCAATTAACCATAACATAACAAAAATCCAATGTTAACTTGTTAAAAATTAAAGACTTCAGAAAAGTAGTTCAGTATTTCAAAAAACCCAACCAACAATTCCATTCATATAAGGACCCAACCCCTTTTTCCGCGTTATTCAAAATCATCCATTTTAGGCGCATCTACCTGAAACACTTCAGATTCCACAAATATAGATGTCTTTTCAGATAAGGGATATATAGAGAACAATGTTTTTGATACTTTCTTTACAGCTGCTGATGAAATATACAATGAAACTGTTACAGCAATTCTTAGTGAAACTAATGGGCAGAATCATGTTTCATGCCCACCTGCAAATCAATCCTTATAGAAGTATATTCCTTTGCGCAGGGCATGATGAAGGGTAAGAACCCAAATCTTTAAGTAAAAACTTTCTCTGTGCAAATGCTGCCACCACACATACATAAAAAAATCATACATCATTCAAAACAAATTATCATATTAATCAGCAATTCTTGTAATAAAGCAGCAAACAACGCCACACAGATGTGCAAAATAGTAAAAGTGTGTCTCATTTATCACTATCTAAATTATACCAACATTCAGAAAATACGAACTTGCTACTAAATTTTCCCATATAAGAATTAAAATCTATCCCAAGCATTTTGATTATTTTTGTAAATAGAGATGCAGGTTATGTTCTACTGTAGAGTTTAAGAGTAGTTTTTAAGGACTATATGAGGATGTCAGCGCAATAGTGGCCTATCCCCAGATCATGTGTTTGGAGAAAATGGCTGATGGAGGTATTGGCAAAATTAAACACTAATTTGTAAGTTTTCATATTATGATATTATGTAAGAATGACCACTGACTAAACATTTGTGATGGATTACATCTTGTGTAAAACAGCATCGCCTATGCTTAGGCGACTATTGCACAAAGAAATGTAATCGTAAGCTGAGTGCAATAGTTCTTTTTGTAATTATAACTTGAAAACTATCGACGCAAACATGCTGAAACTGTTACACGTTGAAGTTAGGGAGATTAAGATGTGATTAACACAGAGAACGCAATTTCCTAAAAATGTGGGGTAGACCACTATTGCGTTGTCACCCTCATATATGTTAAATTTTCAACGTAGTAAACAAGGCAATTCAATAAAGACATTAATGGACTTTTCATAATTCAAATAAACATAAAAAGAAAGGATCTTTTTTTCGCTTCGTGAAAGCAAGGTCTATACCACATTCTTTCTATTCATATTTTTCTTCGATAGAAAGTTTCTGTAACTGACTAACAAAACAAGAAAAAACCGTACTGACCTTACCTTAAAAAAAAATTTATATACACAAGAACACAGCAGTAAAAACTCGACTCCAATAAACACCATGTTCATTAATAAAATATTCATTGTGAACGAAATCAATGCAATGAGCGATAGAAGTTGTAAACTTGAAGTACACCAATAAAAAGTATTTGGTTGTTACTTCATAAACTGTATACAAATGTTAAATATATTGAAAATCAGGACGAGAATTACGATTCAATGGATAGCGTATCTCGGACAGGATGCATTTGTCACAAACTACCAAATAAGATCTTTTTGGAAACTTATTTTTGTAGATTTAGTTCTGGATTCCCTAATCCATAGCAGATAGTTTGAATCATGCTGTATCTCCAAGTATATTTAATATTACAATTATTTTATTTTTGGATTTAATAGCACGGACCTTGTACAGGCTTTGCAATTAATTATTAAGAAAACTGCTTCCACTAATGGGCTAATGCTAGATTTTTAGTAACGCACAATTCCAGATCTATTTGCGAAGTACGGAGCGTTTACAGTGGTCTAGTTAATCTAAAATAAATTATTGGTAGAAATGTGTTCCAGTACTTACCATCTCCGAGTAGCGCAGAAGCGGTGCGAGGATCTCCCGTTTCATCTTGCACACTTTCTGCATTGCCAATCTGCACCACTCTTGCGTAGTCTGAAAGTAACAATATTAATGATGCTTCATATCTTGACCTCTGAATTTAAATTGGGAAGTGGATTTTCAGATTAGATCAATTAAACTTACAATTATTTAAGTTACAATATACTTCCTTTCGTTTTAGCTATCAAAGAGTG